ATGACTTGGAGAGATGGAGTGGGTGGGGACTTTAGAACCAGAAAGGGAGAGGGGTTGTGTGCTGATGAAAGGGAGGGGGGTGGGGCAGGCTTGCAGTGTATGCCCTTTGGTTGGTTGATGATGCATGGAGGGGATTGTAACTATGGCAATTAAACAATATATGACAGGATGAATGTCAGGCTAATGTTCTCCCATGTAAACTATCACGTAATTCACAATAAAACTTTTTTTTTTTTTAATTTTCATTAAAAAAATTAAAAAGCAGATAAATATTTAGTGACTTGAAAATTGCGTGAACTGCAAAGATCAGTGTCCATAAATTAAGTTTTATTGGAATACATCTGTGCTCGTATGCATTTTCTATAACTGCTTTCTCAATACAATAACAGAGTTAAATGGTTATAACATAACGTAGCTAAAATGTTTACTATCTGGTCCTTTTCTGGAAAGGTTTGCCAACCCCATTGCAAATGAATGTCTATTTAATTGAATTTTTTTTTTTTATTGTTTAAGTTGTTGACAAAATACAAAAACAGGTACACCATATATACTTTGTTTAGCACCTCTCCCCCAAGAGCTAGAGTCTTGGTGTGGTGCTGCAGGAAGAGCACTGGACTGCTAACCACAGGTTCAGCAGTTCAAACCTACCAACCACTCCTTGGTTGGTTGGTTGGTTGGTTGGTTGGTTGGTTGGTTATGTGCCATGGAGTCAGTTCTGACTCATGGCTAACCTGTACAGGGTTTCCTAGGCTATAAACCTTTACGGGAGCAGAAAGCCTCATCTTTCTCTTGCAGAACAGCTGGTAGTTTCCAGCTGCTGACCTTGAGGTTCGTAGCTGGATTCGTAACCACTACGCTACCAGAACTCCTTACAAAACCCTATACTGGTTCTCTATGAGTCAGAACCATCTCAATGGCACATAGCAAAAACCCCCGAGAATTCATTTTCACCCTTCCTTGGTAATACAAGCTCTAGGGAAAAAAAGGAGCTCTGGTAGCGTAGTGGTTACGAATTGGGCTGCTAACCTCAAGGTCAGCAGTTCAAAACTACCCACTGTTCCGCAGGAGAAAGATGAGGCTTTCTGCTTCTGTAAAGATTTACAGCCTTGGGAACGCTGCACAGGATCGCTATGAGTCAGAACCGACTCCAAGATATATAACAACAACAACAAAGAAAAAAAAAGAAAAAGTTGTTACCAAGATGATTCCAACTCTTCAAGATTCCATATAACCCTGGCTCAGAATCCCTTGGTTATATATATGATTAACACACTTAACTGCTAACCAATATGTTGGAGGTTCAAGTCCACCCAGACGTACCTTGGAAGAAAGGCTGGTGAGTTGCATAGAAAACTCAGCCATTGAAAATGCTATTCTGACTCACATGAGGTCACATGAACTGCAGTCCACTTTGCGGCCACTGGTTCATCCTGCCTCAGTTCAATATCAAGCATATCTTCTTTTCTTGCACTCTGCCTCCTTTGCTTCACAGAGCCTGTATTTTTTACAAGTTGAAGGTTTGTGGCAATCCAGGGTTAAGCAGGCCATTTTGTGTTATTTTTCTAACAACATGTGTTCACTTCGTGCCTCTGTGTCACACTGTTATCTGTGTCTCATTAATCCTCACAGGGTCTCAAATTTTTTCATAAAACTGTTGCACATTTAATTGACAATGGTATAATGTAAACATAACGTTTTTACATTTTAATAGTATAATATGAACATAACAATACTCTAATATAAACATATGCAGTATAGCACTGTACAATAAGCACTGGACTGCTAACCACAAGATCGGCAATTCAAATCCACCAGAGCTCCTCAGAAATCTATCCAGGGTTGCAATGAGTTGGAACCGATTCAACAGAAGTTAACAGAAACAAGAAACAAAAAATATTCTTGTGACTCACTTTATTGCAATATTCATTTTATTGTGGTGGTCTGGAACCAAGCCCTCAATATCCCTCAGGTAATTCTGTAGATGGAAGTTGTTGGGTGCCACTGAGTCAGTTCTGACGCATAGTGTCTATATAGGACAAAGTAGAAACTGCTCCTTAGGGTTTGTTAGGTTAGAATTTCTGTGGGAGCAGATAAAGAGGTCTGGTGGGTTCAAACCACCAACTCTTCTGTTAGTAGCCAAGGTCTTAATCATTGCGCTACCAAGGTTCCTTATATAAGTAAATAAACTGCTTAAAAGGGGCAAAGCCATGGATGAGAAGGAAAAAAAAAAAAAAAAACTAGGAGACACAAGTATAAATACTAGTTACGTTCCCAGTGCAAAAACTTGCTCGTGTTTTATTTATTCTCTGAAATGGACAACGTTTGATAAAGTAATGACCCCAAGAATATTTTGGAAAGCAGTTGTTAGCAGTTTTGTCAGGACCAAGCCAATGGAGCAAATATTCTAAGTAAACTTTTGAGAACCGTGGAGACTAACGATGTTTCTATTCCCACTGAACCGAAAATATCTCCTGAACACAAACAGAATGATAACAAACAGGTGTGTAAAATAGGAAAAAAAAAGAATGAAAGGGAGTTCTGTGAGGTCGAAAGCTCTAAGGCACAGGCAGCAGGCGTCAGTAGTTTACAGCAGTGCTCTGTCAGTTTATGGTCTACATGTTGATACCGAGTGGAGGACAAGACTCCCCGCACAGAGTCACCTAGGTTTTATGATAATGTGGTTGTCTAATAGTATGTTGTTTCATGATGTGAAGAAGTGATTAAGGAGATTGTATAACAACATTTAAAAAAAAGAAGTTTCAAATGCCTGACCTGAATTTTCAAGTGTCGCAAAAGACAAGGAAAGACTGAAGACTAAAGAGACATGACAACAGAATGTAGCGTGGGCTCCTAGATTGGATCCTGCAACTCGTAAAAGACATTTGTGGACAAATTAGGGAATTTCAAATCAAGTCTGTAGTCTCATCAATAGTATTACTAAAAATACTCGACCTGACAGCAGTGGCTTTTGAACATTGTTTTAAAAACCAAACTCATGGCAACACCGTATGTCTCAGACAGAGTAGAACTCCACTTTGTAAAGTTTTCCATGACTGTGATCTATCAGAAGAAGCTCTTGTAGCATAGTGGTTATGAATTGGGCTACTAACATCAGGGTCAGCAGTTCAAAACTACCAGCTTTCTGGTCATTCCAAAATTAACAGCTTTGGAAACCCTGTACAGGGTTGCTATGAGTTGGAACCGACTCCACGGCACACAACAACAACATGATCTCAGAAGTAGATCACCAGGCCTTTCTTCCAAAGTACCTCTGAGTGGATTGAGTTCCCAAACATGTTGCCATTTGTGTCATCCAGGGACTCTAGTTGTATTATTCCAACATTGAATTTCTTCATGATAGTAATCATTTAATGATTCTAGAAAATGTTAACATTAAGAGAAGCTGAGTGAAGGACAGACAGAAACTCTCTGTAGCATCTTTGAAAATAATTTCCAAATCAAAAGTAAATGAAAACAGCGCCATCCATTTCTGGGTACCCGTGCGTCCCAGAGGCAGACTTGATTGGCACCGTGCAGAGGAAGTCTGTGAGTGAGGAGCATCTGTCCATTTGTACCATAAGCAGCTTTGCAATCTGATGTGAGTGTAACTCCTGCCTTTGTCTCCTTTCCACTCCATTGCAGGGTGTGTTGGGTGCATCATGTAACCGGGATGTGGGTATACCCTTTCCTGGAACACATTGGCCCGGGACCCAGAATCATCTTCTTTGGGTCTACAACCATCTTGATGAACTTTCTGTACCTGCTGGGAGAAGTTCTGAACAACTACATCTGGGATACACAGAGAAGTAAGTGTCATTCGGGGAGCCCAAAACAAGTACGTTGTTGTCTGCAAAGACCTGGACAGGGACTGTGGGGAAGGGGCACTGTCGTCTCTTCTTTCATCTTTAACTCAGGGTTACTTACACAGAGTTTCTGTTTCATGGCAACAGTATTAATTTAAGAGCTGCTGGCAGTTACCTGAAAGGTTTACTACTCACTTAGTCTTATTACCTAGTAAAACATTCAAAGTAGGAGGAAAGAAGCGTGCCTATAACATTTTACGGGCAGAAATGCTGGTTTAACAGAAAAAAATATTTAGCAAGTACTCATGAGGAGCCCTGATAGTAGAGTGTCTTACACGTTGTGGCAGTTCGAATCCACCATGCCCTCTGAGGGAGCAAGATGAAGTTTTCTGTCCCATAAAGGCTTCCAGCCTTGGAACTCCCCTGTTCAGGATTCCTATGAGTTGGAAATGACTCCACAGTACACCACCGCCACCACCATTGGTTAACGAAATGCTACCTTGCTTAGCAGGAGTCCTGGTGTGGCACTGTAGGATTAGCACTGGACCACAAGGTCATTTGCATTGTATGGTTAGAGGTTCAAACTCACCAGCCACTCCTTGGAAACCCTGTACAGGGTTGCTATGAGTCAGAATTGACTCGACGGCACTTAACACACACACCTTACTTAGCTAAAACAAAAACTCTAAATCCATGCCATGGCATTGAATTCTGCCACATAATGACCCTGTAGGACAGGATAGAACTACCCCAAAGGTGTAATCTTTACCAAAGCAAACTAGCACATTTCTCTCCCACAGACAGAGGATTTTTAAGCCTCCAACAGTTTGGTTAGTTGGCGATCACTTAACCAGTGTGCCAATAGGGTTCCTTACTTACGTAAAGGGGCCCCAGATTAAATACAGAAATAGCTAAATGAACCCAAACAATCTCATTAAAGTCACCCGGCTCTCCACTTTTTCTGTCATCATGTGGGTGGTGTAGTAAACTTAGAGAAGCCCTCATCATTCTGCGTGAAGTCTAAACAACGCAGTGGGGCCTCTGAGCCCTGTGACCTGCTGGTAGCTTCCCCAGTGGTCTGAGGGTAGTAAAGTGGCACAGACAGTAAGAGTAATGCTTCATTGCTATGAAAACTCTTAACCTTTGATTTGATTGGCAAGGCACGTAATCTTATCCAAGCTGTGCAAAACGTGTCCAAAGTGTATGTGAGATCAGATACAAACTGGAAAGTGGAAAAAACAGCAGTAGACATATAATGCTTTGAATTCTGCCTGAAAATAATACCTCCAAGTGCAAGATGATTGGGGGTTTTTAGAGAGCTCTGGATCTGTCCAAATAGAATAGACATCACCAGTAAATGCTACAAGTTTGTTGCACACACATTGAGCGCCCCACTACATGTCAAACTCAATCCCAAGAGCTTAGCCTAATCCAATAAATCCTAGTCATTGCCTGATCATGGATTCTGACATTTTGTGATGGTTCTTCTAAGATGGCATGTATCGAGGTGCTAGCCAATGTTAAGTGGCTCAGAGGAACTTGAGGTTTGCTTTTCTCATCAGCTCATTTGAGTTTAATAAGTAGTCTATTAGAAAAAGTGTCAGTGTTTGAGTTCATGTCACACTTTGTTGTTGTTGTTAGGTGCCATCGAGTCGGTACTGACCCATAGCAACCCATGCACAGCAGAACGAAACACTGCCCGATCCTGGGCCAACCTCACTACTGTTGCCACGCTTGAGTCCATTGATGCTGCCACTTGGCCAATCCATCTCATTGGGGTCTTCCTCTTTTTCTCTGACTCTCCACCTTACCAAACATGATATCCTTCTCCAGTGACTGGTCCCTCCTGACAATATGTCTGAAGTATGAGAGACGAAGTCTGGCCATCGTGGACTCCAAGGAGCACTCTGGCTGCTCTTCTTCCAAAATGGATCTATTGGTTCTTTTGGCAGCCCATGGCACTTTCAGTATTCTCCTCCAGCACCATAACTCAGAAGCATCAGTTCTTCTACCGTCTTCCTTATTCACTGTCCAGCTTTTGCATGTCACACCTTGGGGGACCAGAAATTAATCTTTTAAAAACAATTTTCCTGTCTGTTCAATGGGAAGAGTAACCCTTATAATTTAAGGGAGAAAGGCCGTATTGAAATGTAAGTTGTTATGTCCACTATAGGTTGGTCAGGAAATATTTATGACTGCCTGTCTCAGTTTGCTGGATTTTGAAAGCTATTTGGCCATTTTCTTACTATTTCTCTGAGATTGGTCTGAAAACCAGGCAAGGCAAAAACCCAATCTAGATTTATTTTTAGCAGTTTTGAATGTGGAATTAAAGATGAACCAAGGGTTTTTTGAATGATCTGTCCAATTTAATCCTCTCTGCTGGTCTCTTCAGTAGCACAAGATAAAGCTGACTAGGATGTGGTCATTCATTCCAGGTATAGACAATAATTTTGTTTACATGAGAACATCTAGTTAATTTCAAAGAGGCAAATGTTTCACATCAGGTGAGATATCACCCTCACTTAACAATTGTTGTTATGTGCTAGTTATGTGTCTAGTTGGTCCCAACGCATAGCGATCATGTAGTAGAGAGTTTCTAAGGAACAGTTGGTGGGTTTTAACTACTGACCTTGAGGTTCACAATGAGTGCTGATCCTACAGTGCCACTCCAGAAGTCCTCAATTACAATAGGGGTTACAAACTAATGCCCGCCCACCAGGTTTTACCTGCTGAGAAATTCCTACATCATGGAATTTTTGGTTTTGAGCTAACATCTAAAAATTGGAAGATTGGGCTGAATTTGACCACGTTCCATAGACTCCCATCAACCTGGATATGAGAGAGAAAACAGAAAGGGCTGGTTGGTCCTAAGTATGGTGAGACCTGGGGACTCCTGGGCCCATGGACAAGGACATAGCCACAGAGGGCTAGAGTTGAGAGTGAAGCATCCAGCTGATAAGAAGTGAGGGGAAATGCACAAAAACACCCAAACTTGTAGATAGAGCCCATTTGACCTAGCTTCAATGGCTGGATGATCAGGACTCGACTAGAGGAAGATAAGAAAAGTTGATAAAGGAAACAAGGTGTAAATTGCTACAATTTGATGAACTTGACCTATACTTATGGATGTAGTAGCTCAAAATACCAACTAAGAATGAAGGAATCTTCACACCAATGATTGTTCGCATTGCCTCTGTACACAGGGTTGATAGGGATGGGCAACTTAGATATTGGCTACCTAAAATGGGGGGTGAGGGGTGCTATAAAGGCATGAAGTGACTGGCTTACAAGTTTTCAAGAGGGAGTTTAGTTTCAGAGTATACAGGGGAGGTAGAATCCCCACTGAAAAGTTTTCATTTCTCTAGAGAGGTCTGGTGAAAGCAGATGGGGATAAGATTCTTATGATTCAATAGTGAGTAATTGTTATCATCTCTAATTGCAACTATCACAACTGTAAAGGTAGAAGAATTGTAACACAATGTGGGGAGTAGTTAGTTGAACTTATAGTCCAGGAACAGAGAACCCTAGAATCATCAAAGGAGAAGAGCACGAGCAGAATGTGGGACCCTATGCAGAGAAGCAGCAATACCAGAGATGGAGGCAGAGATGAGGACATGGAGAGATAGAGTAGCTGAGGACTCTAGACTCATGGGAAGAGAATGGCTGTGTGCTGGCAGCCAGGAGGCAGCTTTGCAGAATGTGCCCTTTGGTTGTTTAAATGATTATATATCCCTGAGTGTTTCTGTGTACATCTTTAAAAACAAGAGGAAATAGAAGCAAATACTGTTGAATGATGATGTATGGAAGGGACTGTTATCATTGCAATGAAACGATGAGTGTAAACTGACGTTCTCCCATGTGAACTATCACTCAATTCACAATACAAACTTTAAAAAAAAAAAAAATAGGAAGATTTCACTTACAGGCTACATTTGGTTGTTGTTAAGTGCTGTTGAGTTGGTTCTGACTCATAGTGACCCTGTATAGGGTTTCCAATGCTGTACCTCTGTGGGAGCAGAAAGTCTTATCTTTCTCCCATGGAATGGCTGATTGGCTTGAACTGCCAACCTTGTAGGCTTGAACTGTCAGCCATGTGGTTCACAGTCCAGTGCTTATTCTTCAAAACCACAGTGCTCCCCAAAGTCTAGATATCCAACTTCTTATCAAATATTTTATGATCTATCAATCTGTCAACACCAAGCCAACTCTTCTTGTATGGCAATAATGGATTAGGACTGAATATCAGTTGCCCCCTTAGATGACTTTCTGAATTCCCTTAGTTCTTACCTGGCCATTCTACAGTCCCTGGTTCTGTGGGCAGTCAAGTTTGAAGTTGCTAATTAGAAGCAGAGCATGTCGTATGTCATGGACGTGTGTGCACAAGAAATGAGAGTTTCATACGGTATTGCAGTGATGAATACTTCAACATTTGTTACACCCTAAACAGAATCTCCCAGGAAAGAAGACCACAGTTGAGTATTCATATACTGGATCAATGTCCTCCACTAAGCTATGTTACCTTAATTTTATCTTCAAGATAAAATCACCCTGAAGGGTCTCAGAACTAAAAAGAAGGCTTAGAAAACCTTTTACTGAGAGGCAGCTGATACCCAGTATCATAAATGACCACCAGAGTAGGCGGTGGCTGAGGCAGCATCTAATGATTGACATTCAGCTCAGTGTTTGTTCTAGTGAACCACTGAGAGGTCACCATGTGTGGAAACCCAGGCACGTAAGAGCTCTGAAACTTCTCTCAGAACCAGACATCTGGCTTATAAAATCATGAAATGGGTGAACCTGATATGCAATATGACTAAAGTAGCTTCAAAAATATCGGTTGAACATTTGCTCATTGTAAAAGAAAGTAATGCAAGGTGGATTTATTTAAAAATTTTGGTGTGATGCAATATTTCTGTATTCTGTAGGAAAAAATATCCCAGTATCTCAATAATGTGGAGTTCTAGTATGGTGCTGTAGGGTAAACACTGGACTGCTAACCACAAGGTCGCTCCTCAGAAAGCCCATACATGTTCGCTATGAGTTGGAACCAACTTAAAGGCACTTAACAAAAACATCTCAACAAGTGTATCTAAGATGACCAGTCAGTAAAGTCAAACATTGGGAGACCAGAAATGAAATGCCCAAAAGCTAAAGGTTGGCATTAGGATGGAGGAAGCAGACAAGAGAAAAGGACAGAATCAGTCTGTGTGAGCAGAAACCTCTGCTATTTGTTCCCCTACACAAACTCCCACAGACCTCGTAATGTCTCAGCACTGTGCCCTGGTTGGGCCACGCCCCAGCCTGGAAGAAGGTCCTATGTCTAACTCACTTTCCCGATATGCCCACAGGGCCATCCTACCTCAGCTTTGTGACAGACTTTTTCCTGCTTTTCTGTGGAAATTATACTTCTGGTTCCTTCAAACATTAATTGCAGCTGTCTAATTTTTTCCCTTTGCCTCAAAGCTGCCAAACTAAAGTAGGTGGGGAGCCATTTTCCCTCTCTGGGTCAGTGAACACCCCCCTCCCCTCCACCCTCGCATTTGAAGATTCTACCACTGCTGCCAAGTCTATCCATCTGTAGGAGAATGCTGTGAAGGAAACGGGCTGTAAAAGGAAAAGCAAGCTGCTGTTAGCGCCTGACCACAGCTCCACAGGAGTGGGGATGGGCGACAAAAGTTGGGACTCAAATCATGTGTGCTGTTTGAATGGAATCTGCGTTGTTTTTCTGCCTTTGCCTGGGTTACGTCATCTCAAAGACATCCCCTACCTTCTCCCCTGCAACCTTTTCCCTCCCTTTCAGATGTCTCTCTTCTTCAATTTGAAGTTTTCTCTAATATGGTTTCTGAGAAATACTTTGGGGAAAATGTTACAGATCTCTGCCAGTGAGGCATTACTTCATTAGTCATAAACCCCAAACATAAAAGACTGTGTGAGGACACCTGCTCAGAGGGTGTTCCTCACATCCCACTGCCATCATGATGACCCCATAAAACACAAACACATCCTACTATTGGGTACGGATCCTTCCTAAGGTAAGCTTTATTGTGAAGACCCTCTGTAGGACAAGCACAGGTCTCTGTAGAACCTCCCAGGGAGGAAGACCACAGTTGAGCTACTTCCTTGTATTCATATACAGCTTATCCTATAGTACCACACCTGGATCACAAGGTCAGCAGTTCAAACCCACCAACTGCTCCTAAGAAACCAACTCCATGGCAGTTAACAACAGTTGTTGATCCAACTCAGCGGCCCTATATAGAATTTCCGAGGAGTGACTGGTGAGTTTGAACTACTGACTTTGTGGTTAGCAGTCCAGTGCTTATTATATATATATCCTGGTGTGGCACTGTGAGTTAATACATTGGACTGAACCACAAGGTCAGCAGTTCAAGCTTACCAGCCTCTCCTCAGAAACCTTATTCAGGGTTGCTATGGATCAGAACCAACTCGATAGCACTCAGATATATATATTCCTGGTGTGGCACTATAGGGTAAGCACTGGACTGCTAACCACTTGGTCAGCAGTTCAAACCAACCAGCCACTCCTAAAAACTCTATACAGGGTCACTATGAGTCAGAATCAACTCTGTGGCACTTAACAACAACATATATATTAGAGTCTCATCTTTTATTTTAAGGATCTCTGGTAGAGTAGTGGTTATAAGTTGTGCTGCTAATCTAAAGATAAGTAGTTTGAAACTACCAACTGTTCCATGGGAGACAGATGAGGCTTTCAGCTCCCATAAAGATTTACAGCCTTGGAAATTCTATACAGTTTGAGTTGGAACCGTCTCCACGGTACACCACCCACCACCATCTTTTATTATACTGCTTTCCCATTAGTCCAGCATTCTAAGGCCTTCTCTATATTAATTGTTTATTAGCTTAATTAACAAAGATTAATTGTGCTATTACTATGTGCCAGACACTCTGTTGTCGTTTTCTGTTTGCCATTTGAGTCCAAGATGCGGCTGGTGGGTTTGAGCCGCTGACCTTGTGCTAGCAATCCTGTGCTTATTCTACAGCGCCACACCAGGGCTCATCAGACAGTCTGTTAGAAAAGAAGTTAAGAGCCCAACCTTCAGAAAGATGCAGTCTATAAAAGAAAACTACCAATAGTTTGCTAATATTAAAAAAGCAAAATATCTCTGAGATATTTGGTAGTTGTTGTTGTTGTTGTTAAGTGCCGTGGAGTCGGTTCTGACTCATAGCTATCCTGCACAGGGTTTCCAAGGCTGTAAATCTTTATGGGAGCAGAACGCTTCATCTTTCTCCCTCGGAACCGCTGGTAGTTTCGAACTGCTGACCTTGCGGTTCGCAGCCCGATTCATAACCACTACGCTAGGAGAAAAGTATTTATCCAGAAGAAAAAGATAAGTAGAGAGCATTTGCTGGATATAATTAAAATTATATATGAGAATGCCTTGAACATTTTCATCTACAGGAAAATGAAACATAAGGGACTTCACCCCATACAACACGCAGAGGTCTTGACAATCCAGTACATACAGGTGTGTATCAAGAAGAACATACTTCACCAGGATTGGGTTAAAATTTAGGTGTAAAAAGAGTAAGGAAATAAACACCTCTTGTGGCTAATAGGCTATGAGCTTAAAAATAAAAGATTTCTTGGCTTTTGGAAATAGAGATTCCTTGCCTTGAGACAGGACAGTAAACTAGAATAGCCAAGGTATGGTTGACACCCATTAGCTGCACACCTTCTGCTGCAGGAAGCTGGTTAAAAAGGCAATCTGGTTGGCCTTTCTCTGAAAACTCAGTGTCAAGAATGAACTTGACTCCCTCACTCCCAGAAGTGATAGGGGCTGGGTGTGTCCTGAAGATGCTTGTGATCAGATTCTGGGAAAGGGTGGGGAGAGAAGCCACTGAGGAAGGTTCTGGAGAAAGTTACAAATGACTTTCCTTCTCAGCTATGAGAAAAATAAAGGATTGGGTGTAGAAGGGCAGATAAGAAATGTAAGGAGATGGGTTTTTTTAAGGAGCCTTGGCAAATCCACTCATTACTTAGTCTGGTGCTCAAGTAAGCACTTTGCCTGTATTTCTAGGTATGGAAGAAGAGAAAGAGAAGCCTAAATTGGAATGAAATCTACGTCGAAACAGAAGAACTCAACTGCGCCATCAATGAAGGCTTGCTAACCTGTGGGCATTGGCAGTGTGAAAGAGAAGTTTTGAAGAAAGCCGTAGGCTCCTCCTCCACCTCCCTGCCTTTGCCCCAAAGGAGAGAATGTGAATACATATATGGAAAAAATATATTTGCTTATGTCAATTATTTCCAAAATAACTTATCCTCATTGTATTTTAAAGAATTATCTCCAAATCCATTATTGACAGTAACTTTTCTCTCTCTCTCTCTTTTTATTTTATTTTTTTTGCTTTTCTACTTTTTAAAACTAAAATTGATTTTTAGGTTTTAATTTTGCAATTGTAACTCCATTTAGTTAAGGAGGAATAAAATTCTACTGCTTCTTGTTTAGAAATTCATTAAAATCAAAGGGGCTGATGTAGAGCAAGACATTAATGTATTTAGTCTTAAAGATGGCTTTTATAATGAACCTAGACTGCATTGTAAGTTTCAGAGGAAACGTGATTGATTTTCTTATTGCAATAATGTCATAGTTGCCTCCAATGGGCAATGTTAGTAACAATTACATCATTTTCTCAAAATTCTAAGTGTATTGGATCTTATGCTTTAATACTGTGACACTTTTCCTAGTTGCAAACTACAACTTTAATAAAGACAAACCAACCCTTACTCTGATATCTGCATGGTACATTCCAAAATCCTAGTAGCATTGGTGTCTCCAGTCTTTTACTTTGTTTCTTTACATGTTAGATACGAGTTTTATAAACCAGATTATTTCCAAAAAATTTTTATTCTAAAAAGTGTGTATCTTTATGATAATCTTTAATGCATAATTTTTGAAAAAACAAGGTAATTTACAAAGTTTGGCATGAATTACACTTAAAGTAGGAAATAGAATGTTATATACATCAGAACTGCTCGTTAAGATAAATACGAACGTTAATTGTCTGTGCTAATGGAGATGCACCAAATATTAAATATACCATGGACTGCCAGAAGAATGAGCAAATATGTCTTGGAAGAGATACAGCCAGAAATCTTCTTAGAAGGGATGGTGGAGAAACTTCATCTCACATATTTTGGACATGCTATCAGGTGGGACCAATCCCTGGAGAAGAACACCAGGCTTGGTAAAGTAGAGAGCCAGTGAGAAAAAGGAAGTTCCTCCATGAGATGGACTGACAGATGATTTCAGCAATAGGCTCAAACGCAGGAACGAATGTGAGGATGGCACAGCACCGGCAGTGATTCCTTCTAGTGTACATAGAGTCGGAATCAACAGGACTGCACCTAACAGCAGTAACAACAGAGACCAACAAATAACTTTGTGTGTGTGTGTGTGTGTGTGTGTGTACTTTACAGTACAAATAATCCAAATTTTCATTTCATCTTCAAGTAAATATGATTGTGTACAAAACTCAACACATACGATAAGATAACATGGGAGATCTCCAGCCAAACTTATCTATTACATTAATAAATATAAGTGGGTTAAATTCACATGTAGAAAGAAAAGTCTTTTCAGAGTAGATTACAAAAGAAAATCCAACTCTATATCAGATATTGCAAAAACATATACACATAAAATGAATTTCCAAAGATTGAAAAAAAAAAAAAAAGGCAAAAGAGCACCTAAAATGTTTACACACACACACAAAAAAAAACAAATGTAAACATTTTTAATATGAAACAGTGTACAACTCAAGCTCAAATCCACTTCCTGATGAGCAGCCCCCCATAGTTATATGTCCAATTTATGAAAGCACAATTTAGATAAATATATAATGCATCTAGTAGAATCCCCACATTGACTTCCTGAATCATGGAGTTGGGACCAACAACAACAACAGAGATCAACAAATCACTCCTTTTTTTTGGTTAAATTTTAATAACCTCATATTTATGCAAAAGCTGGACAGTGACTAAGGAAGACCATAAAAGAATTGATGCTTTTGAGTTATGGTGTTGGAAGAGAACATTGAAATTGCCATGGGCTACCAAAAGAACAAACAGATCTGTCTTGGAAGAAGTGCAGCCAGAGTGCTCCTTGGAGGTCAAGATGGCCAAACTTCGTCTCTCATACTTCAGACATATTGTCAGGAGGGACCAGTCACTGGAGAAGGATATCATGTTTGGTAAGGTGGAGGAAAAGTTCATGCATAAATCCAACAAAACAAAAAGCCACAGTCATACCACATCTTTGAAATAACTTTTGAAATTGGTTGCAGTATCAAAGACCTAAAGGATGCAATGTTGGTGGTTTCCATTATAACTGTGTTTAACTACTCTTTGATCGGTGTACAAAAGAGCCATGAACTTGGAGAACGAAAATGAGTCATAGTAAATGTAATTGTGAAGCATTGATCTTGTGGGCTAAGGGACTTTCCTTTATCTTGCAAGGAAAGTAGTATGCCTACACTAGCTTTTCTCAAGGCGATTTGAATTTTGGCTTTGCATCATAATTTAGTCTACAACACCCTTGATCATTTCATCATCACATAAGACATTTTACTTCTACTACCTGATCATACTGGATAAGTCAAAAAGTATTGCTACAAAATCATAGGACCCTTTATTAAACAAAAATATATCTGAAGCTGTTGTTTCTCCATCTAGTTCTATATACTTCTGAAGGCAGCGTTTCCATCTCTCTAACCCTCCTCTGGTCTGGTATGGTGCTGTAGGATAAGCACTGGACCACAAGGTCACTTTGAATGGCAAGGTCAGTGGATCAAACTCACCAGCTGTTCCTTGGAAAACCTATACAGAGTAGCTATGAGTGAACCAACTCCACGGCACTTAACAATAACAACGCTTCCCTAAAAATTTCTGTACTCTTTGATTTACACGACATCAAACCAGTTTGGGCATCCTCAGGGGACACACATTGTGTTCTTTTCATTGTTCTTTGATGTTGGGGAACACAAAGAAGTATGAAGGGGCACAATCAGGCCTGTAGGGTGGACAGGGTAAAGTTTTCCAGTGAAGTCCTCATAGGACATCCCTTGGATACCCTGGAAGAATGAGCAAGTTACTTGTCATGGAAAAAAATTCCTCAGTGTAACATTTCTGGCCTTTTTTCTTGCCAGTGCAGTTTTCACTTTGCTTAAAACTTCTTCATAGTAGACACCCATGACCATCTGTGTCCTTTGAGAAAACCTATAAAGATTACTCTTTTGAATCCCTAAAACAATTGTCCTAACCTTCTGACCTAACCTCTCTGCTTTGTATTTAAGTTCCCCATCAGATCCCATTGGAAGCCTTGGTTTTTTATTGGACCTTTTTTATGAAGGCATCCTAATGAGACCAAGATAAGTGTATTGCTTAGAGAACTTACCTGCAGCCATCTGCTGGTCATACATTTTGTTTGAAGAAACTATTCATGTATGAAGGAGCTCTGGTAGTGTAGTTGTTACAAATTAGGCTGCTAACCTCAAAGTTGGTATTTTGAAACTACCAGCCATTATGTGGGAGAAAGAACTGCTCCCATAAAGATTTACAGCCTCGGAAACCCTGTGCAGGGTCATTATGAATCGGAATCAATTCCATGGTACTTAACAACATCCATGTATATATGAACCAGAGCTGCAGTGGCAGTACCTTTGGACTTAACCTTATATCATACTGCTTGAGCTAGTGAGCAGGATATACAGCAAGGGCCCTAAACAGATTGTTAGGGCACATACATGCATGCCAAAGAACAATAGATAAATGACAAAAATAAATTCAGGTATCTGCTGCCTATGTGAAGTTCCCACTGAATTTCTGTCTGAGACTTGTCAATATATATCTTCTAAGATGTTGGAGGAGAATATTGAAAGTGTCATGGGCTGCCAAAAGAACCAATAGATACATTTTGGAAGCAGTGCAGTCAGAGTGCTCCTTGGAGGACAGGATGGCCAGGCTTCGTCTCTCATACTTCGGACATGTCAGGATGGAACAGTCACTGGAGAAGGATATCATGCTTGGTAAGGTGGAGGGTCAGAGAAAAAGAGGAAGACCCCCATCGAGATGGATTGGCAAAGTGGCAGCATCGATGGACTCAAGCATGGCAACGGTACTGAGGTTGGCCCAGGACCGGGCAGTGTTTCATTCTGCTGTGCAGAGAGTCACTATGAGTTGGTACCAACTCGATGGCACCTAACAACGACAACAACAAGATGAAATCAGAGTCCTGGTGTGGCCCTATAGGATAAACACTGGATTGCTAACTGCAGGGTAGTTCAAACCCACCAGATGCTCCTCAGAAGCCCTACACAACAGCCCTTAACAATAACACCAAAGATTAAATCAGAGACCCTGGGCAACATGAACTGTTGAGTACATGACTACTAGTCAAAAGGTTAATGGTTTAAACTTACTCAGAGGGGCCTAATAAAAAAGGCTCAGTAATCCATTTCCAAAACATCACAACCCTAAAAATGCTATGGAGCACTTCACTTCACACAGACCGTGAGTCAGAATCCACCCATCAGCAGTTAACAGCAACAACAAGATGGACTATAGATACATTTTGTGTGACTTACCACTTAGAAAGAGACAGATTCCTTGGTGTACCTTTTTGGAGAAACATAAAGGAGCTCTAGTAGCCTAGTGAGTTATGAGTTGGATTGCTAACTGCAAGGTCAGCAGTTTGAATCTATCAGACACTCCATGGTAGAAAGAGGAGACTTGCAGCTCTAGTAAAGATTTACAGCCTTAGAAATCCTATACAAGGTCACTATGAGTCGGAACCAACCCCACTGCATATAACTACCAACCAACCACCATGTCATATTGAAGGTGTTGTTCTAATCCCTATGCCACAGTTGTTGTTGTTAAGTGCCGTCAAGTCGATTCCGACCCATAGTGACCCTGTATAGGGTTTCCAAGGAGAAGCAGTTGTCTTGAACCACTGACCTTGCAGTTCAAATGACTTTGCAGTCTGGTGCATTAACCAACAGCACCACATTTAGAGGAAAAGAAATAAATGAGAACTAAAACAATTAAAATGTTTGTGT